AAATCATATTATCATTATTTTTATGTGAGTAATAATATATTCATCAACATAAATAACTTATTTCAAAGTGTTTTCATCATTAAAAAAACCCTCATCCAATTCTATCCACTTTCCAATCTTTTCTAACCATTTTCTAAATCATAAAATCCATCACCACTAAGACCATATTATTATTTTATATTATTTAATGTTTAAATTAATTTTTGTTCCTTTTCCAACCTTTTACAATACATTATATCCCACTTACCTGTCTTAATACCATTATTTTTATACTCACCAGTAAAAGTAACCTCACAACATAATTTACTCAACTCAATCCATTTTCCTTTTTTTGACTCTCAAATTCATATAATCCACCGACGCTTCATTATGAGAAAAATAATACATTGTTTTATCATTAAAAAATACTCTCATCTTCCCATTTTTTGACCATATATAATATTCATCAATTTAAAAAATTTTTTGAGCCTAAGTCTCCTTAATAGTTTACATTTCTTTTATCTGTATTCCTAAACCCTTATTTAGAGTAACATCCGCCTTGTTTAAATGCTTTTTCTCCATTTCTCACCATTTTTTCCTATTACTATTACGATTATTTAGACCAAATTTTCCCATTTTTATTATTTTAAATATTAATTTTCAATATAAGAAGGATTATTGAACTTTTAAATTAATAATGTAAAGGAATTTTTAATTAATATTCTGAGATGATAAAAGTACATATTTTTAAGGATTAAAATTATTTAGAATAATAAGGTAATAATAATATTTAGAAACTAATTATAAAGAGTAAAGGATCACAACCAATAATTCCAGATAAATAAAAGAACTCTATAAATAAAGATATCAATTCAAAAAGTATTTTTATTAAAGTATGATAATGACATAATATATTTTTTATGTTATTTCTATAATTTTGATTTATTATATTTAATCTCAATCCATTTCTGTTTTTTTGTTAATACTTATTACCTCTCATATACCTATGTTCATACCATTCGTATTATATTCAACATTGTATGTGATTTATTTATCAAACTTAAACTTATCATCCAATTCGATCCACTTTCCAAACTTTCTCTCGCCTCCTTCTTCATCATATACTCCACCACCACTAAATCCTTATTTTATTCCTTTTCTCATCTAATAATTACATTTATTTATAATCTTTCTCATTATAATTGCAATATTTAATTTCTCATCTACCAATCTTCATGCCTTTCATATTATATTCCCAATTATAAGTGATTTAAGCATAATACTAAAAACCTTCAAACAACTCTACCCATACTCCAATCTTTCTCTAACTTATTTCTTAATCATATGATCCACCACCACTATTAACATATATATTATATTCCTTATATTCAAATAACCTACATATATTTCTATTCCTTCTCCTTGTATTTGCAATATATAATATCCCATCAACCAACCTTCTCACCATTCATATTGTATTCTCCATTATAAATGATTTATTTATGACTATAAAACGTTTCATCTAACTATAACCATTTTCCAATCTTTTTCTCACATGCTTCTTAATAATATGATCCACCCCCACTAAACACATATTATATTCCTACTGCTTATTTAATAGTTACATTTATTTATCCAAGCTAATATTTCCCATCTGCCCATCTTCCTACCTTTCACATCATATTCCCCTTCATAAGTGACTTATCAATAAGTATCAAATCCTTCATCCAACTCTACCCACTTTCCAATCTTTTTCTACCCTACTTCTTCATCATATGATCCACCACCACTAAATACAAATATTATATCCCTTATTCTTAATGAAAATTTACATTGTTCTATAATGCGACTCATTATATTTGCAAAAATTAATATCCCATCTTCCTATTTTCATACCTTCTTTGTTATATTCGCCATTATCAGTAACTTATTTTGAATCATAAAATCCTTCATCCAATTCTACCCATTTCCCTATCTTTTTCTATTCCTTTAGTTAATAATATGATCCACCACCACTATAAATAAATATTACATTCCTTATAATTGAAAAATATTTACATTTCTTTAAATCCATTTTTTCTTGAAAGCAATACATTATATTCCATCTATCTACCTTCATACCTTTCATTTTATATTCACCTTCAAAAGTGACTTATTTCGAATTACAAAATCCGTCATCTAGCTCAATCCATTTACCTTACTTTTAACCAAACTTATTCTAGTATCCACCACCGCTAAACAATTAATTAGATAATTACATCATCTTATCTTAATAAATATATTTCCAAAAACCCATTTTAAAGTTATTATAATATTCTCCAGATGTGAAAATTTGTGCTTAACTAAACAAAAGGTCATGTAATAATATCTTACTTCTAATAATTTAAGAATAGATCTATCCAAATTCCTTGCTTTTCTCCATCCTTATAATATCCACCGACATTTTTCACAAATACTTTATCCCAAAAAACAATCCATTTGCCAACCTTCATTTTGTTCTTACAGTATTAACCTTACCAAAAAAGATAATGGATATAATCCAGATTATTAAATATTTCTGGATTCTGGAAAGCATCACAAACTTTATCTCTTTTATTACTCGTCAATAATTTTTACATCCTTAAAATTGCTCCCTCTTTTGAATATACAATTTAATGATCTTATGTGAACTTGATTTGAATTGATAATTTCTCTAACCTTTATTTCCTTTTATTATTGGTTATCAGGTAACCTCCCAAAGAGTTATTTTCATTTGAAAAATTCATTTTGTAAAATATTAATTATTATTTATAATTGTCAACAAATTCTTAGGTTACTGGATATTCATCCTTCTTGTGGATTCTTT